GGGGGCAGCAGCTTTTCATCAAGTACTCTGCTTGAAAAGAGGTTCCTGGGAGCCTCTTTTGTAGGCAGGTTCTGGTGGGGAGGCTCATTTCTTTCAGATTTTGTCACTGAATTCTGCTGGATTTTACAACACATTTCAATTTATCTAGAGATGGCTAGTGAATGGGGAGAAATTGAATGCCAGAGACAATGATGGGAGGCATTCACAGATAAATAACACAGAGGCCATCCCTCAGGATCTTACAGTCTAGAGAGGCAGATGGTCGAGGCAAACGTTATTTCCTGTGGGAAGGATAAGATGACCTCGGCTTGGGACTCTTCTCCCCGCGGGACCTTAGATGTGCCCCTTTCCTCCAGAGACAGGACTGTGGCTTCCAGATGGGTGTGGTGTTATGCACCCATTTCCCTTTGTTCTACTCCTTGGGAATGCAAGCGAAAGCCGAGTCCTACTCAGGCTTTTGTCAGGCTCCTTCTCGGCCTGGTGCGCAAAGGTTCCCGCTGCCGCCTCGCTTCAGCACCGCGGGCGTGGACAGCTCCAGGACGCTAGGCTCTGGGATCTGATCTGCAGGAAGTAAACCTGGCCTGCCAGAGCCCCCCGCTCAAGGTTTCAGGCAGAAACCATTTTGCAGTTGGAGACAGCTTGTGAGGAAACACATCTGCGTCGCATGGGTACTCTGTGTCTCTGAAGTAGCTTCTGTGTTGTGTCTCAGGCGTCCTGGTCCTGTCCTGGTACCCACCTGGCATGGCTGATGATAACGGGGAACCCTCAGATGACCTGGTGCCCGCCATTCTCGACACCGCCCATCAGTACAACATCCAGGTGAGTCTCCAAGAAGAGGTCAGGTGCTCTTTGGCCCATTCAGATTTCCCCTTCTCTGCCCGCAGGGTTAGTTCTTGGCATTAGCCTAAGTATGGCAAATACACAGCAAGTGTGGTGTTGGGGGTGGGGCTCTACGAAATAGCCCCTGTCACTCTTATTTTCTTGAATTATGGGGGGAAATGGGGAAAACTAAATATAGGAGAAATGGGGGATTCAATAAATATCAGATAGAAGTTAGGTTGGAGAGCCTGACTCTGGATAGAGGGCAGGCAAGGACCCAAATGCGCCCAGAAACCCAACTCCAGCCTCAGACCCCTAGTGGGAGGCAATGCTGGGCCTCAAGGCGTAGAGTACAACCCATGTTCTTGGCAGGCAGGCGCGCTTTCAAGAGGAATGAATGAGCTGAGTGAAGCATGTCCAGTTAATTTCTCCAAATGAACCAAATAAGTCATTCCCCTCTCTGGTGGCGAAGGAAGATAAACAGCAGAGAGGAGCCCCACTCCTGTTCCTGAGCCCATCACTGACATGTTTAACAGATCATAGCATCTCTGTCCATCAATGCAGCTTCATTCAGCATCCTTCTTCCCAGGGTTTCAAGCAGCTAATGCCAATCACGTGGAACTGGCATGTGAGCTTTAAACCTATTAGCCATTCAGTCACAGCCCATCCAAATGGTTCCCAGATGTCCTGCTGTGGGAGGTGGGCAAGCTTCTTGCCCGTTTTCTTGGCCCTGAGGGCAGTGGCTGCTTTTATCTCTATTATGCCTACAGTTGTCGGGCCCTCTCCTTCAAGCCTTAGGGGAGCATGAGCCTTATAGGTTATGGCGCCTGGGCAGATACTCACCTGACCGGTATCTCCTCTGTCTGTGGCAGGTGGCCTTCCACATCCAACCCTATAAGGGCCGGGATGACGTCACTTTGCATGACAACATCAAGTACATCATTGACACGTAAGGCTGCTGTGGGGCCTGGATTCTGGTGGGGATCAAAATGGGGGTGGGACTGAAGGTTTAGAAAGGTAGGTCAAGGCACACAAGGGCAGAATGCTTGTGTCCTCAGCAGCTACTTCACAGTAGACAGTACCCGGCCTTGGGGTCAGCAACTTGGGTTTGAGTTTTGATGCAGCAGCCTCTAATCTGTGATCCGATGGAAGCCTCTGAACCTTTGAGTCTTGTGAGAGTTACATGAGTTAATATATGTGAAAGTGGCTTGTACGGCGTTTGCATGTATCATCCACTTATTCAGAAAACAGTTGAGTGCCTTCAGGTGTCCAGGCACTGTCCTAAGCCCCGGTTGTATGGTAATGGGCAGGACTAGCAAAATTTACATTCCAGTGTGTTGAGGCAGTGAAGCGCACAGCGGTTACACATGAAAGATCAAATTGTGACCCATACTCTGAAAAAGCAATTGAGAAAGAATAAAGCAGCATATTGTGTTAGAGAGCATGCCTGAGGATGGGTGCTATACTTTAGAAAGAGTGGTCAAGGGAACCTCTCTGAGGAAATGACATGTGAGCTAACTAACACTTGAAGGAAGAGTCAGCTCTTCAGAGATCTGGAGCAGGCAGAAGATTCCAGGCAGAGGGCTCTCAGATCCAAAGGCCCATGATGGGACAAGCCTGATGACAGAATAAAAGGCCAGTGTAGCTGGTGTGTAGAGATGGGGTTACAGCAGGGACGGAGGTGGGTAGGGCCAGATCAAGTAGGAGGGGGCCTTGCAGGTCTCAGTACTAAGAGCAATCAAATGTGATTAAAGAGAGTGGATTGTAGGGAGCCAGCAGTGGGAGCCTGGAGACCGGTTAGGGGGCTGTTGCTGCAGTATAGATGAAAGACAGGGGGTGGCATGGTGGAGGGCAAGGAAGTGAGGCTTGAATACAGGATCTCTGAGGCTGGGGACGGGTGGGGGGTGGAAGACTGGGTTCTTGCTTAGAGGCATGATGACGCCAACTGTGGGGCCTGGCTGGATCCAAAATTGCACTTGGGCATCAGGAAAGATCTAACCCATGGCTTGTCCTACAGCTGTACTGGCTGCCCCTCTTAGGCGGCCAAGTCAAGTTCTTCTCCCTCTTGCTCCTCAGGTATGGCTCCCATGCTGCATTTTACCGCTATAAGAACAGCATGGGCAAGAGCCTCCCACTCTTTTATATCTACGACTCATACCTGACGTCCCCTGAGGCCTGGGCTCACCTCCTGACACCCAATGGGCCCCACTCCATCCGCAACACCCCCTATGATGGGGTCTTCATAGCCCTGCTGGTGGAGGAGGGCCACACCCACGACATCCTGGCTGCCGGATTTGATGGCATGTATACCTACTTTGCCTCCAATGGTTTCTCCTTCGGCTCCTCCCATCAGAACTGGAAAGCCGTGAAGAACTTTTGTGATGCCAACAACCTCATGTTCATCCCCAGCGTGGGGCCTGGCTACATTGACACCAGCATCCGGCCCTGGAATAACCACAATACTCGGAACAGGGTCAATGGCAAGTACTATGAGACAGCCCTGCAGGCAGCCCTGACGGTGAGGCCCGAGATTGTCTCCATCACCTCCTTCAATGAGTGGCATGAGGGCACCCAGATCGAGAAGGCCATTCCCAAGAAGACGCCAACACGTCTGTATTTGGACTACCTGCCTCACCAGCCCAACCTGTACCTGGAGCTGACTCGCCGCTGGGCAGAGCACTTCATCAAAGAGAAGGAGCAGTGGCTGATGTGAGGAGCCTGCCGACGGCCACGAGGTGCCAACGTCCTGGCCTCACCGGAAGGTGTCGCTGCGTGGGGCTCAGCTGAGGTCATGGGCACTCGCCGGTCTCCAAGTCAGCGGCGGGCCGCCTCTGGGTGGGCTGTCAAGCCTGGGCCCACGTGGAACAGAGCTTGTTCCTTGGGCAGGTGGTGCCGGGGTGCTCTGCGGTGACAGGAAACAAGGCAGGGTTCCAGAGGGAACCACAGAGGCTGGCGGGTGACTGGATTTAGCCCAGGGCAGCTCCATATCCTGTCCCGACACTTTAAAATAGTCCCTCCTCGCTTGGAACTCAGCAGGTTGGTGTGCAGCGGAGCCACCAGGTGACTGCTCTTCGGAGGGGCCAGGGCTCGGGGCTAGCACATGCCCTGCTTCCTCTTCAGCCTTCCTCCCACAGCACCTGTCTTCTCTAAGTCAGGGGACCGGATTTGAAGCTTCCCAAAAGGGAAATTCTAGATTGAAGCCCTTCCCGGTAGACTCCTGAACCCAACGATCAGGAAATACCCCTGAGCATTCATTCAACACACACTAATTGAGCACCTTATTATGTGCTAGGCGCTAGGGAGGAACTTGACCTGGCAAGGTCCTTTTTCTTCCAGAAGCTTACAGGATCCAGCTTTCCTTCTTTGGTGTGGCCTTGTAGCTAGTGCCTGAGCACAGTTTCTTTTTGCAGTTTTACCCAGCGCTGGGAGTTGTTCTTTTTCCTCTAAGAAAATACCTGTGCTCCAGAGCCTCCATTTCCCCAGATGACCATTTAGTTCCAGGGAGAGGACTAGGGCCCCCCCCCGCCTCCGCCCCACCTCCCTTTAGCTGCCTAAACTGAATGAGGCCCACTCAGTCGAGCCATTTTCAGTGCTACTGTGATTTGTATCAATTAAATACGACGTGGTATTCTCAAGTAAGCATTCTTTTTGCTCTCTTCAAGACTTCCTGAATTCTGAGCCCGCCCTCAAATTCCATGACAACCTGACATGTGGGATCGGCTGGCTAGCATTGGCACAACGAAGAGTGAGTTTGCTTAAGAAATGAGAAGTTTAAACACGATTTTTAGAGGGGATATGTAACCAACTAGTGCTTATTTACAAATAAACTAATGTGCTATAATTGTAGGAGCCCTCAAAGTAGACCCTGGGACACCTCCTTGGCAAGACTTAGGAGCTACTTGGAAATATGTGCGTTACTTTATGGGCTCAAGACTGAATCCCAGTACTGGGAATGGGGTGCAAGGTGCAGGAGGGGAAGAAGCGGGCCTATGGATTACCACAGGACCCCCGGCTCCAGTTAGGTCATGGATACTGAATGGCACCGATGGATGGAGCAGATCAGGACAGGTGAAAAGGGTTGGATGGTGACCTGTAGTAAGTTACAGAAGGGAGAAACTAGGAGGCTTCATTCCCACATACACAATTTGGAAAGTTCTAAAAGTACAGCAAGGCCAGGGGCCTGAAGCAGCAAGTCTCATTCGTTGCTGATGGCAAGGCAGCTTGATCAGTTCTTTTGAAGGTGAATCTGTATCAAGAACCAGAAAAATGTTCATACGCTCTGACCCAGTAATCCTCCCCTACGGAAATAATTCAAAAGAAGAAGAATAAACTATTTACAAAACATTTTCTATTAATGAAAAACAAGGTTCAAATACCCAAGAATAACTGTTTAACACTTGGTATTCACATGAATAAAGATGCAGGCTGCTGAGTAGACACTGGATTCAAATAAAAGTGTTATAGGTATAATTTGTTATAATTTATTTTATGAATAAATACGAAAAAAGCCACTGGCTGACAGAAATAGTAGAGATTTGCTTTCTAGTATTCTCTAATTTGGACCTCCCCGCCTGCACCCCTTGCCAACTGAGCTCACTTCCCACAACTTGCCCAAAACGATGGCTCTTCCTGGCATCACAGCACACCATACCACCGGCCTCACTGGTTCAGAGGAAACAGTGTGTGGCCCGTGGCTCAACAACCTTTATCCTAATCTGGTTCCAGCTTCAGGTGCAGAAACACATGCCTTTGGTCACTTGAGACGTTCCGACAGCACCAGCTGGTGCACTGGCTGATCTGGACCTTAAAAGCCACCATCCACCAGAGGGGAGGCTCTGACTAGATTCCAAGTCTGTTCTTTCAATGTTTCAAACATATCTTTTAAGAAGAAACTTATTAGGACAAGGCCATCCTAGGAATGTGCTCAAATAAAGTGTCTAGTCAGCTTTTGGCTGATATGAAAGTACAGTTCATAAATATGACCTCCCCCACCAGTGTGAGACAAAATCAGCAGCTTCTGGGGCCTGGTCTACAGGGTTTAGAGGGACACACTGCCTGAAAGCGTCAGACTAGTGATGCTGTGGCCCCCGTGGCCTCTGTGAATGAGGCCTTGTCAGTCACCAGCGAACAGACACACAGTGTCCAGCACCAGTCCTCGGGCCCTCCCTCTTCCCGAGATTCACGAGCAGGATCCGTGTGAGGGGAGCAGCCCGTACTTCTGCTGGAGGATGGCTGTAGTTCTCTCCAGGGCACTGAGGAGGAAATGGAGGGCAGTTAAAGTCTGACTCCTCAAAACCCTGAGCCCACCAGAGCATGGTGATCAGCTCTTCAATAGATCATTGACGAATCCTTTGAAATCTGAAAAAGCCAGCAAACACCGGCAAACTTAGTCCCCACCTCCATCCGCCAGTTCTTCAAACCTGCTCATTCCCCTCGGGACAAGATAGGAATGACAACCTTTATTCTGCCGAGGACTTTTTTTTTTTTTTTTTGCACCTTCCAACCCCCTTCCAATTCTATCCCCATGCCACAGCAAAGACTCACCAGCCTGGGCGGATGATGCCAAACTTTCCAGGTACAGATAAGTCAACCACAGTTGAGCCCAGGCGATACTCAGAGCTCTGGCCATCCCCGATTGGTCCCCCATCAATGATCAGGGACAGCTGAGGCCAGAGGTCCTGGAACTCCTGAGAAGAAGGAGAGGAAGACCATGGACGCTACCTCTGGCGTCTGCCATGACGTCACACTGCACCCAGAGTTCATAAGAAAGCAAAGACCGCACACTTCTAAAACAGGAGGCATCTTCCTCTAAGCAGGGAAAGGAACCTCACGCAGTGAAGGTCACCTGTGCCAAGGACACTGCCTTAGCGCCTGGGATACAGCATCCTGTGAGGTGTGAAGCCCTCTTAGGTCGGTGCCTCAAGTAACACCTAAAACTCAGAGAAACTCTTTCTGTGCCAAGAGGAGATGCCACACAGAGCTTCTGCTGGGGATGTATAAATACAATGACTGGAGTCCTACCTAGGTGGGTGTCCAAAGACATGGGGGTCTACCCTGAGCTTCCGCCCAAATTTCTATGTCACCACATTCAAGTGACTTTATCCAGGACACTCTGATTCTGGATCTCAGGATCAGTAGGGTAAGGGTACGGAGAGGAAGACAGGTGGATTCTCACGTGCATGCCACCAGCACTCAATCCTTAAGGGGCTACGGGAAGGATGCCCCTCCAAAATCTGTGGATTGAACTGTTAACTGGGTTAGAGCATCACCCATTCTCCCCAGCACTACCACTCACGAAAATGCTGCAGTGGTGGCTAGGCCTGGGCATTTGGGATGGAGGGTCTTAACTACCAGCTACTGTGTTGGTTGGGTCAAATGTTTGCGGACAAGCCAAGAATACCCCCACCCCCACTGCCTCAGGCACAGCCACGGGGACCAGGTAAAGCCTACAGTCCCAGAATAAGAAAGGATGCTGAGCTCTCACCCTCACTCTCTAAGGCCCCTGACTGCACTCTCTTTAGGTCTGGGCTTGGGAAACCCCAGTACTTTGCTATGTTTTACATTTAAGTTCTGTAGGAAAAAAAACGTGTGGTGGCATTTCTGTGTGTTCTCATTTGTTCTAAAGCCATGCAGTCAAGGCAGGATTAGGATAATCCTTTCTTTGACATGGCTATCGGCCAAGGTAAAAGAACAGGGTCAGGAGTCCCTGGGACAAGTGACACAACCTTTCAGAGCCTTAACTTTCTTTACAGCACTAATGTAAAGGCTTATTGCCTAACGACATTTTCAAACTGCTACCATCAAAAAAATGGGGGAGAAAAAAAAATCACTTACCGTAATATTTCTTATTACTAAAAACACAATAGGAAGAAAACAGCAATTCTCCCCCTCACCTCTCAGACTTTTTAATGAAACCTTTTCAAGATCCTTTAATTTGATCCCCCCACCCCCACCCCACCCCTGCCAACCAGGCCGACTTCCCACCCTTACACCAAATGGGTGTCTCTTGCAGGTCATTCCAGTGAACCATCAACCCCACAGATTCAGAGGAATCTGTGTTTGGGCTGGTGATGTTTCTGCGGGGAGGACTGGGTAGCTCTTACCTCCACGTTCAGAGAACTGGCCTGGGAGCTGAGGTTGGCACTGGTGAGAGCAAGTGGCCCCCCAAACACCTGAGCCAAATCCTGTATGAAGGCATGGTCAGGAATCCGGATGCCTACGAGCTATAAAGCAAGGGGAGAGGATCATCAAAAAGGGTGAGACGGGCGGGGAGTGGGTCTGGCCTGGATCCTAGTGAAAGCCAGATGGCAGGAGTCTGGGGACACAAGAAAAGCAAATCTGACTCACAGGAGTAAAGGGGTTCAGATCCTTATTAAGTTCCTCAGAGCGTTCCAACACCAGGGTCACTGGTCCTGGTAATAAGTCTTTCAGGAGCCCCTCGGGTACTCTCACATGGCAATACCTGGAAAACAGAGGGGACACAGATCCATCCAAGAATGAAGGGTCGCTGCTGGTCCTATTCCAGACTATGGACAGATCTAGAAAAGGGGACTCTTGGGACTACGATGAGATCCGTCTGTATTCCCTCTTCACCTCCCTGAGAGTTTGAGACGCTGGGCTCCAGAGGAGCACTCCC